GTATTATTTATATTATGCAATGCAAACTTTGAATCATCTAATTTTTCTTCTGTATAAAATTGACTTTTAAGTCACGGTAATGAACTTTCTGATAAAGTAACATTTACTAATCATTCCTTTATTTGATTTTGGTTCATAAACTCTATGAAGTATTCAGTGGACTGGACAAGGGAGGAATATTCATATTAATGGTTTGTCCAACCATTTGTCTCCATGGAGAAATAGATATGTATCCAGTACAAAGGACATGCAGATTTTCTTCTTGACTAGTCATCTGATCTGCAATTGAACTGTGGTTATAAAAGCAAGTTAAATATGTATGTATTTAAAATTAAATTACCATTTTACTAATATCTCTCTTATCAGTATTAGTAAAAATCAGAGAGAGAAAGAGTATAACTGAACATCATGCTAAAGCTGTAAAGGAATTTCATTGCTTATTACTTACTCCATAAAAGATTTTGAAAGTGCACATATCAGTTAAAGCTATTTTAAGAACAGCTTAAAATTGTGGACTTCAGCTCAATCTTAATTAGATTAAATCATTGTAGTAGGTGCCCCTAAATGAAAGATGACTTCCTAAGGTCAATCCTTAAGATTTCCGGAATGCGCATTTGTCCTTTTATTCTTGTCCTTTTAAGCTCATATGGCTTTTTGTATATGCCAATGATTTCCTTGTTGCACTTTGCTAGACAAAATGTGTTCTCACAGTTTGAATGTGTAAACTCGTGAGACCCTAGTTTTTAGAGATTTTTGTTGGTTTTCTGTTTTTGTTATGCAGGATCACCATTGTCTGAACCAGTGCCTGGGACATAATAATTGCCCAGTGAAATTTTATTGAATGAATTCTACTTTATTAAACCCTGAAGTCTTTTTAGTATCTGGTCTTAAAGTCATTTTGATAACTGAAGAGGATAACAGACAAATGTTAGTACAGATTCAGTTCACTACATTCATGTGTTAAGATAAAATGAATGTGTGAATGGCATTTAAGTATGCCTATCTGATGTTTAGAAAATAAAAGTAGCTTGTTTGGAATAGACTTTAAAATGATTTATCCATGGTTATTTTTCATTATTCACTAAAGAGAAAACCAGGTACTGTGCTAATTACTTAACATGCTTTTTTCTTACTTGATTTTTAGGATAATATTTTGAGGAATGTCTTCCTATTCCTATTAACCATGAGGTCATTGAGGTTAAGAAATGTGTTTGTAGTTACACGGCTAGCAGGTAGCAGAGTCAGACTGTCTACAAGCCTTTACTCTGTGCTGCCTTATACAAGAAATAAGCCATAAACACTGTAGATTTGTTATAATGAGATGTTAAGTCTTTAAGGACCAAGTGTGAATTCTTTTTCATCCAGCTATATTTTTTAATTAGTTGGAGATATGTAAGTGCTCTGGTCTTGTGACTGGAAGCAAAAAATAAATTTAATGATATATTTTCCTCACACATTTGAGAAAGAATCGGAGGGTTCTGGTAGGGTAATGATAGAATCTGATTAGTTTTAATAGGATTAATCTGACAATTAGACTGTAGGGTGGAGGAAGAGAGAACAAGGGGGCTGTTCCAGTAATGTAGGGAGGACATGGCTGCTTGGACCATTGGTGAGTTGGTCTAACCCCAGGCTCCTTGTAGGTGGCAATAAGTGGTTGAATTTGGAATGGATTTTGAAAATAGAGTTAACATGATTTTCTTGATGATTGGTGACAGTAAATGGAGGGAGGGAGGAGAGAACAAACAAGAATGTTTTCAAGGTTTTGGCCTAAATAACTGGAAAAATTAAGTTGCTGTTTCTGAGATTGAAAGGGGGAGAAGGTCAAAATGGTTTTGACCATTTTAGTTTTACATTTCCAAGTAGAGTTTATTAATGAAGACTGTAAGATTACCAAATGGAGGTGGACATATATCACCAATATACAAGTGTTGGAGTGGGCTGGGCTGGAGATATAAAGGTAGAAATCATCAATGTAGAAATGATAATTACAGTCATGGGATTGGATGAGAACACCTAGGAAGGTTGAATATAGAGAAAGGGTTTAAGTCTGTGCAGCTCTGAGTTACTCCAGAGTTTAGAGTTAGGATGATGAAAGGGAACAGCCAAGGGGCCTGCGGAAGAGGAGACAGTGAACTAGGAGACTCTCGAGTGGCATCCTGTTACTCAAGGGAAGAAAACATTACAAAAAAAGGAGAGGGATCCCATGCAGCAGATCTATCAGATCAAGTCAAGGAAGACTGAGATACTTCCACGGAATATGGAATGTGGAAGTCCACTGATGACTTTGACCAGAGAAGATTCTTTTAAAAATGTTTGAAACCATTCGCCTAGAAAATATCTAAAGTTCTTGCTTCTCTAAACCTGTGATTCTCATACAGGCTGCCATCTCTCAGCCTGCCAGGATCGGTGCAATGCAGTGAACCTACAACCACACGCTGTTTGGAGTGAGAGGGAGCTTTGCAAGAGAGCAAAATGCTCCAGATCTCTGGATGCAGTCCCATTTATTTGCAAATTGGTACCCTCAGGTTACAAGTGGATTTATGTAAATTATATCCTTGAGATGGCATTACTGCAAACCATACACCCTATACACCCTAGCTTTGTCTCTTGCTTTTTATGGGAAGAGACCTTGAAGCCAAAAGATAACAAACCCTTATTTGCATGCAAATGAAGCACCCAATATGCCTGGGCGGGCCAGGTTCCGCCCCCCCCCCCCCCCCCGCCCCGCTAGGATTCTGAGAATTCATTAACACAAGGTTGAGAGTGCTTAACACAAGGTTACAAAATATCTATCTTCCAACTCCCCAACCCTACATAGGCAAACCACCTTCTAGTCATTATAAAAACTAGCTATGATAATCCAGTATTGTTCTGTTCAGATATTTCAATCAGTCATACAAATGTTGACTTTAGTTACTTTAATGATCATTGTTTAATTATATGATTGCCAGATAAGGCTTTTATAAAATGTCTCACTTGATTTCTTTCTTGTCTTTTGATGTTATATGGTGGAAAAGGCATGAACCTTGGAAGTCATTAGACCCAGGTTTCAGTCCAAATTCCACCAATTACTAGTTGTGTAATCTTAAGCAAGTTAATTTTTTCAAAGCCCAGTTTCCTCATTTGGAAGATGACAGGATGATAACTATTTTATATTGTGGTTAAGAAGATACACTATGGTAACATACATGAAGCATCCAGTCAAGTGTCCAGTAAATAACAAGGTAGTGTAATGAATAAGAATATGGGATCTGAAATCGAAGAGACCTAATTTCAGATCCCAGCACTCACATGTACTAGATGTGAAAACCTGGGCTAGTTTCTTCACTTCTCTTAAACTTTAGTTACTTTGTCTATAAAATGGCTTTAATAAAAAATGCCTACCTTGTAGATTTATTATAATTAAATGAGATATTGCATGTATAACTGTTGTGTCTTACACAAAATGAGTGCTTGATAAATGGAAATGGTAGCTATTATTATTAGTACTTGGTATGATTCTATTTGCTGTTATTCTTGCTGTTACAATTATTAGAATAAAACCTTCATTTCTTAGTTCTGAGGGTCTTCGTTTCCAATCAGACTTGAATTGATGTCAAGCATAGCTTACAGTATTTGTTTTGCTATGTTACTGTCATTCATTACTAATGTTAAGAGCCTTAAATAATTAGCCGGCAGCTAGGTTATGACCTTCAAAGCGGTACTTGTCTTCATATAGGGACATTTAAATAGATAGAATCAGAAGAAAACATGTCTAAATAGGATGCCTAAGAAGTTGCAATGTGAATGGACCAGAAACAGCTGTCTTTTGGCAAGTTTGCTTGAAGCTGTGCTTAAAGAATCTGTCTTACTACGCCTTTGAATGAGGCAGCTGCACTATGAAAGTCCTAAGAAATCTGAGATGGAAAGAACTGCAGATCAGAATATAAAGAACAGCCTTTGATGAAAATACCAAGACAGAAGTAATGGAAAAGAGAAGACTTTCTACACTTCAAAGAGATAGTAGGAACCATCTAATTTTGTTCCTAATTTTATGAAGGAGAGGCTATTGAGTATCTAAAACAGTTGGTGATGTATTTAGTGTTAAAACCAAGAAAGAATAATTTTGTAACTCTTAAATACTCTCTCCTGTAAAGCATAATGCTCTCATCCATATGTATTGTCAAAAATAAAAACAAAGGACAATTTTGAGAGGACCAAAGTGGTCCTTCTCAAATGACAGAGATTATTCTTCATATGTGATATAAAATTGAGGATATCGTAGCAGTTATTTTATTCTCCAGAATTTTTTTTATGAATGGAAAACCTAGGAAAGGACTTTTATTTAAAGAAACTGCAAAGCAACTAATTTTCATGAGAGATGAACAGCTGAAATACTGTTGAAATCAGGTTTTCAGAAGCAAAATATCCTAGATGGAGATTTGTGGCAGATTTTCTATAATCTGACAATAATCCAGTTATTACTAGGCATGTAAAACTATATTTCTCAATGAGCTGAAACAGCTTTAATATTGACATTTTAAAAAGCAGTTAAAATGCTCTAATGAAATGAATGCAATTATACAACTACCTTATTTTAAAAATTTTGATAATGTGGAAAAGAGTGATTTAACATTTGATAGGTCATTTTTTACTTATTTTAATGGATAAAGAATCGGTAAATTTAGCTGCTCTAATTTGTATCTGTATGCTATCAATTACACTTTGCACTAACTGGAAAAAATTTTACATTGTGTGCATGTGTTTGTAGTAAACCTTTGAACAAGATATAAGTTTACTTTGATATCAAGTTGCTTTCTATAGTTTTCAGTAATATCAGCCACTGTTATTTTCATGTTATATATAGTTAACTAATAATCATTTCATTCAAAACAATTATAAATTTAGCGTAGTTGATAGATTTTTCCATTATCTTCATGATGTAAAACTACAACATTTAAACAAAAAAATTCCCTTTTTTTTCTGATTGTAATTTTGCTCCTTTGTCTCATTTTTTATAGAGCTACATTCACGGAAGCAGCCAGGCTCAGTTCGTGGCAGAGTCGCACATTATTCTGGTACTAAGTATCCTTTAAAGTGCTGATGGATTGAAAAAGACAAAACCAAGTGCTATGGAGTTAATTCTTTTCTTGGTAATAAATACCAAGACTTATAAAGACGTTACATTTTAAATTTGCTCTGTGAAATTTTCTACTTTCTATGCTAATTTCCTATTATAATTTTTGTTTTTCTCCTGAATATTCTCTTATTTACCAACTGTTGAATTTTAAAGTATAGCTTTGCTCTGCATTGATTTTCTCTGACTAGAATTTACTTGTGAAGTTTGGATGGTTTTCCCCATAGGATCTTAATAGGGAGAAAAAAGTGTCCTATAATATAAAAAGCAAGATGAAAAACATTACCTTAGTAATGGTAACCTTAAATATTATGATCAGTCAGAAGAGGGAGATGTAGGATAGTCAGAAATCTCTTTTTGGAACATACCGGACACATTGTTTTGAATCAGATAATTCAGTACAACTCTGGCTTGGGGGTGGAAGGGTCAGGAAGAAGGTATCGGAATAGGAAGGGGGTGTGTTTCAAGTGTCTAAACAAACTGAATATTCTCAGAATGAAGTTACTTTTGGGGCAAACAACTGTATTTTGGAGTCGTTTAAGTTTTATTTTTGGGGGGTAAAGATAAGTATAGTTTTATGTTTGTTTATCTTCACACAAGGACACTTTTGCATTTTATCTTCAGATAGAGTGGGAGGGAGAGGGAGAGAAACACTGATGTGCAAGAAACACATCAAGTAGTTGCCACATGATCCCAACCAGGGCCGGGTACAAACTGCAACCGAGGTACGTGCCCTTAGTGGGAACTGAACCCGGGACTCTCTGGTCCACAATCCAACATTCTAACCGCTGAGCCAAACCAGCCAGGGCTGTTTTTTTGTTTTGTTTTGTTTTCTTTTAAATTATTTTTATTAATTTGTTTTTGTTACAGATGTGTCTCCTTTTTCCCTCATTGACACCCTCCTCCCCACCCCCCTGCCCCATCCCCAGATTTGTTGTCTATATCCATGGTTATGCATACATACATGCACACAAGTTCTGTGGTTTATCTCCCCACCACCCCAACATCCTACCTCTATGTCTCTGGGTCAGTTTTGTCCATCAGTTTGTTTAGTTCATTATATTCCACAAATAAGTGAGGTCATTTGATAGTTGTTTTATCTCTGCTTGGCTTGTTTCGCTTAGCATAATACTCTCCAGGTCCCTCCATACCATTTCAAAGGATAAGAGATCTTTCTTTCTTACAGCTGCATAGTACTCCATTGTGTATATGTACCACTGCTTTTTTATCCACTCATTTACTGATGGACACTTGGGTTATTTCCAGATCTTAGCTATTGTAAATAGTGCTGCTATGAACATAGGGGTACATATATTCTCTCTGATTGGTGTTTCAGGTTTCTTAGGGTATATTCCCAGAAGTGGGATCACTGGGTCAAATGGCAGTTCAATTTTTAACTTTCTGAAGTAACACCATAGTGTTTTCCACAGTGGCTGCACCAGTCTGCATTCCCACCAGCAGTATACTAGAGTCCCTCGTTTAAAGTTTTGACCTAGGAAATGAAGCTGGAGTAGAGAGATTATAAGACTCCATTTTATATTTCAGTGTCTTTCTGAAACTCACTGAGCCACACTGACCGTCTTTTTCCTCTCTCCCAGTTCTCAACATTTTTATTCCTTCCACACTTGACCACACATACTTGGTGCATACATGGAACTGTATATATCTGTAGTCCATTTCTTGCTTGTCTACTTAATTACCCATATCCTTTATGGCTTCAAAATTAAGAAGCTACTATGATGAGTGTTTGTTCTACTCTGTCTCATAGATTGAATTTGGAAATATCTATATTTGAGAAAACATTCTCAAGTTTTGTGATTTTCATCAATAACTACAAGGTTTTCTGTGTTTCAACTTTAATATGGTAAGAGAGTAATATGTACTTTCTGCATATCAGAGGGGCTTTAGGTGAGAAAACGAAATATTTGCAAATATGTTTATAGGAACATCTTCGTATTAAAAAATATGGGCAAGGCCATATTTACTTTTATTTTACCTTTTAATTATAAAAATGTTATCTATGAAGCAAAATACATTTGTGTTAAAGTACAATAGTAATAAACAAAGTATTTATTGCAGGTAACTTTTTAGCTCTTATTTATATATAAATATATATTCTTTTCTATCATATTTCAATTCATGATGTAACATTTTAGCAGCGCACTGTATTCAAAGCAGCTAGTCTGTTAAACACATCAGGAGTTCCTAGCAAAAGGAAGGAAAGCTCCATTGTACAGAAGGTATTCTCCAAGGTTCCATTTCATGGCTCATTGACATGAAGCTGAGATTTAGGATGCAAAGAAACTTCATAAGCAGGATGAAGTCTGCCCTGTAGAGTTTTAACAGTGATACATAAAAGAATTACAAGTCCCTGCTCTCTTATGTTACCAGTAATTATTTATTGCTTTATTTCATGTTTTATTTTAGAGATATTTATGAAAAAGAAATTTTAAAATTATCAGTAAAAGTTAAAAAGAAGCCATTATGTAATACTTTGATTTTACTTTTATTTGGAAGAGTCTGCTAATTTTTTAACTCACCATATTTTTTCTCTCTTAAAATTTATGTGTGTATTTTTTCCCTTATGAAAAAAAAAAAAGTAAATTCCAGATGGTTACTTTTTATTCATCTGTAGAGACCATTTCTGCCTTTTGGTTTCTTCTTCCTAATTTAGTAAGCCAGATGATTAGATGCAATTGCATATACAACATCTTTTTGAAAAACACCTAAGAACAGATGGAGTTGTTTGATGTCATAGGTTATAGATTTATATTTACTATAAGTAATATGTTTCTCCCTGTTAGTAGTGTCTTATTTTCTGTGTCTTATTTAGGGGATAAAAGAACATCCTAAGTAATCTATGAGAGAAAGCTATATGAAAAAAAATCTTATATAATCCTATAATCCTTTATGTTTTCCCAGTAAAGTTTTTATTTGCTTATTTTTTTATATTGTTGACATTATTACATTCTTCTAGCTGCCCACCAGCTCTCACTCCATCCAAGGCCTTCACCACACTCTTGTCTTTGTCCATGGGCTCTGCCTGGATGCATATACGTGTTTGGGTTAATCTCTTTCTTTTATTTATTTTTTATACAGTTATGTTTCCATACCTGATGTAAATTATATATTTGCCATTTACAGGAAAGTAGACTGATGGAGAAATAAGTATAATGCAGTATGACAAATGCAGTATGACTGTGCTCGGGAGCAGCACGCCAGGAAGGGCACCCGGGGGCCTAGAGTAGTTGAACGGACTTTGCAGTTTCATTTTGCTACAGTGGCTAAAGAAGCTTCTCTGTCAGAGAATAACTGAGGGAGAATATTCCAGTAGGAGGCAGGCACAACAGGTACAAAATCATAAAATGAGAGAGAGTATTCCTAAATTGTGAAGAGGAGATGGTGAGAGGTTACTTTGGCTGAGTGAAAATGTACACAGGCCCAGCCAAGAAACTTGAACCTTATCTGAACTCACCAGGATACAGTCTGTGTGTGCCAGTGGGTACAGGACATGTGAGTTACTGGATTGGCTTTACTGCCAACTATATAAACTCTGACCTGTCCCATAAAGAAAATGGCATAGATAAATATCAACTAGAAGTAAAAGTGCTAATATAAAAGGCAGTAGTTATACTAGCAAGAATTTTAAAATATTTATATGTATATATATATTCTTATAAAGATCACATTTGCTTTTTAAGAAAATATTTGTTTTCCATTTATCACGAAAGAGTGTTTTATTCTGCATTTGTTTTCAGTCTGTGATAGAGAAAAATGCTTCTTTTATTTTAATGTGTTATATCTAAGAAAAAACATTTTATAGAGAAAATTAATGATGGATGCAAGTTGAAGATAATGTTAGATTTAGATCCCTTTAAGTCTTCTATAATGTGCTAATATATTTTTCAACATCTGTTCTCGTTTATCTTTAAATTGGCAATCATGGCTGTCTTCCTAGGAGCAGCCGCGGACTTAGCATCCTGTGCAACTGAGAATAAATTATAATGCAATGCAAATGCATTTGTTATTAGTTCAGTAGGATTCCCAGGGCCTCTGGGTATTGTATATGATTTACTCAAACAGCAGCTTCTTTTTTATGTGGGATCATGTCAGTGTTCTGACTTTTTAAGCAATAGGATGATGATTGGCAGGATCAGCAGAGAAACTGCGGAGTCTGCAAGTAGTTGATATATTGTTATAATGTTAATACAAATGTGCAAAGTAATACATGGAATATGCCAAGCAATACACGTGTGTGTGTGTGTGTGTGTGTGTGTGTGTGTGTGTGTGTGTAGGCATAGGCATTAACAATCTCAGAACAATAGAACAAGTCTCGGAAACATCATAGTTTATCCACTATATATTTACATCTCTTACACTCTTTTAATGTTAGCGCTCTTTAATAAGGCACAGCCAAATGGCTGCAGCCATCACTTTAAAGACAGAAATGCATCTGTTACTCCGGAGTTAGACATAGAATCTCCCAGATTTCCAGGGGCTTTCATTAGTCAACCTTCTACCCAATGAAAGAAGCCCTTCACATCAACTCTGACAGATGAGCACTTAGCTTCTTCCTCTGTCTAAAAATTAATCCTTTATCTAAAAGTTTTTATTTTACAAATGTGAATTGTTTTCTGAAATGATAAGTATTATGTAGGCTCTTTTTTTTTTTTTAATCCAAAACATTTTGTTTTCTTTGATACCATGGAACTTAAGTTCAGTAATTCTCCATACTCAAAGGCCTTAAGATAAAAGAGAAAGAGTTGGTGAGTTTAAATCCATATTTGTTTAATTCCTATATCTTAATTTTGGCCATCAAGCTTAAAGTAGGTTCATGGATCATTTCTCAGTACTTCAGAAACATTCTGAGGGTGAAATCATGCTTATTTTCTGACCCTACTGCTTTCTCATAAAATTGTTTACTTTGGGGTTGTACACAACCTGTATC